AACAATGTGAGGCATGACATACCTCCTCCGTGTGTCCTCCACAACAATGTGAGGCATGACATACCTCCTCCGTGTGTCCTTCACAGCTATATGAGGCATGACATACCTCCTCCGTGTGTCCTCCACAACAATGTGAGTCATGACATACCTCCCCAATGTGTCCTTCACAGCAATATGAGGCATGACATACCTCCTCCGTGTGTCCTTCACAGCTATATGAGGCATGACATACCTCCTCCGTGTGTCCTCTACAGCAATGTGAGGCATGACATACCTCCTCCGTGTGTCCTTCACAGCTATATGAGGCATGACATACCTCCTCCGTGTGTCCTCCACAACAATGTGAGTCATGACATACCTCCCCAATGTGTCCTTCACAGCAATATGAGGCATGACATACCTCCTCCGTGTGTCCTCTACAGCAATGTGAGGCATGACATACCTCCTCCGTGTGTCCTCCACAGCTATATGAGTCATGACATACCTCCTCCGTGTGTCCTCTACAGCAATGTGAGGCATGACATACCTCACCCGTGTGTCCTCCACAACAATGTGAGGCATGACATACCTCACCCGTGTGTCCTCCACAGCAATATGAGGCATGACATACCACCTCCGTGTGTCCTCCACAGCTATTTGAGTCATGACATACCTCCTCCGTGTGTCCTCTACAACTATATGAGGCATGACATACCTCCCACGTGTGTCCTCCACAACAATGTGAGGCATGACATACCACCCCCGTGTTTCCTCCACAGCTATTTGAGTCATGACATACCTCCTCCGTGTGTCCTCCACAGCAATGTGAGGCATGACATACCTCCCCCGTGTGTCCTCCACAGCCATATCAGGCATGACATACCTCCTCCGTGTGTCCTCTACAGCAATGTGAGGCATGACATACCTCCTCCGTGTGTCCTCCACAGCTATTTGAGTCATGACATACCTCCCCCGTGTGTCCTCCACAGCAATGTGAGGCATGACATACCTCCTCCGTGTGTCCTCCACAACAATGTGAGGCATGACATACCTCCTCCGTGTGTCCTTCACAGCTATATGAGGCATGACATACCTCCTCCGTGTGTCCTCCACAACAATGTGAGGCATGACATACCTCCTCCGTGTGTCCTCCACAGCTATATGAGGCATGACATACCTCCTCCGTGTGTCCTCCACAGCTATATCAGGCATGACATACCTCCTCCGTGTGTCCTCCACAGCTATATGAGTCATGACATACCTCCCCCGTATGTCCTCCACAACAATGTGAGGCATGACATACCTCCTCCGTGTGTCCTCCACAACAATGTGAGGCATTACATACCTCCTCCATGTGTCCTCCACAGCAATGTGAGGCATGACATACCTCCCCGTGTGTCCTCCACAGCAATGTGAGGCATAACATACCTCCTCCGTGTGTCCTCCACAGCTATATGAGGCATGACATACCTCCTCCGTGTGTCTTCCACAACTATATGAGGCATGACATACCTCCTCCGAGTGTCCTCCACAGCTATATGAGGCATGACATACCTCCTCCGAGTGTCCTCCACAGCAATGTGAGTCATAACATACCTCCTCCGTGTATCCTCCACAGCAATGTGAGGCATGACATACCTCCTCCGTGTGTCCTTCACAGCAATGTGAGGCATGACATACCTCCTCCGTGTGTCCTTCACAGCTATATGAGGCATGACATACCTCCTCCGTGTGTCCTCCACAACTATATGAGGCATGACATACCTCCTCCGAGTGTCCTCCACAGCTATATGAGGCATGACATACCTCCTCCGTGTGTCCTCCACAGCCATATGAGGCATGACATACCTCCTCCGTGTGTCCTCCACAGCAATGTGAGGCATGACATACCTCACCCGTGTGTCCTCCACAGCAATATGAGGCATGACATACCTCATCCGTGTGTCCTCCACAACAATGTGAGGCATGACATACCTCACCCGTGTGTCCTCCACAGCAATATGAGGCATGACATACCACCCCCGTGTGTCCTCCACAGCTATTTGAGTCATGACATACCTCCTCCGTGTGTCCTCCACAGCAATGTGAGGCATGACATACCTCCTCCGTGTGTCCTCCACAGCTATATGTGGCATGACATACCTCATCCGTGTGTCCTTCACAGCTATATGAGTCATGACATACCTCCTCCGTGTGTCCTCCACAACAATGTGAGTCATGACATACCTCCTCCGTGTGTCCTTCACAGCTATATGAGTCATGACATACCTCCTCCGTGTGTCCTCTACAGCAATGTGAGGCATGACATACCTCCTCCGTGTGTCCTCCACAGCTATATGAGGCATGACATACCTCCCACGTGTGTCCTCCACAACAATGTGAGGCATGACATACCACCCCCTTGTTTCCTCCACAGCTATTTGAGTCATGACATACCTCCTCAGTGTGTCCTCCACAGCAATGTGAGGCATGACATACCTCCCCCGTGTGTCCTCCACAGCTATTTGAGTCATGACATACCTCCCCCGTGTGTCCTTAACAGCAATGTGAGGCATGACATACCTCCTCCGTGTGTCCTCCACAACAATGTGTGGCATGACATACCTCCTCCGTGTGTCCTTCACAGCTATATGAGGCATGACATACCTCCTCCGTGTGTCCTCCACAACAATGTGAGGCATGACATACCTCCTCCGTGTGTCCTTCACAGCTATATGAGGCATGACATACCTCCTCCGTGTGTCCTCCACACCTATATGAGGCATGACATACCTCCTCCGTGTGTCCTCCACAGCTATATGAGGCATGACATACCTCCTCCGTGTGTCCTCCACAACTATATGAGGCATGACATACCTCCCCCGTGTGTCCTCCACAGCTATATGAGGCATGACATACCTCCTCCGTTTGTCCTCTACAGCAATGTGAGGCATGACATACCTCCTCCGTGTGTCCTCCACAGCCATATGAGGCATGACATACCTCATCCGTGTGTCCTCCACAGCCATATGAGGCATGACATACCTCCTCCGTGTGTCCTCCACAGCTATATGAGGCATGACATACCTCATCCGTGTGTCCTCCACAGCCATATGAGGCATGACATACCTCCTCCGTGTGTCCTCCACAGCTATATGAGGCATGACATACCTCCTCCGTGTGTCCTCTACAGCAATGTGAGGCATGACATACCTCCTCCGTGTGTCCTCCACAGCCATATGAGTCATGACATACCTCATCCGTGTGTCCTCCACAGCAATGTGAGGCATGACATACCTCCTCCGTGTGTCCTCCACAGCAATGTGAGGCATGACATACCTCCTCCGTGTGTCCTCCACAGCAATGTGAGGCATGACATACCTCCCCCGTGTGTCCTCCACAGCTATATGAGGCATGACATACCTCCTCCGTGTGTCCTCCACAGCAATGTGAGGCATGACATACCTCCTCCGTGTGTCCTCCACAGCAATGTGAGGCATGACATACCTCCCCCGTGTGACCTCCACAGCCTCATGTGGGTAATGCACACACAGGTCCGTGTATCGCACCCCCATGTAGCTGTACATGTTCACTGCAGCCCTGTTGGAGATTACATGACACATCTCTGAAATGCTTGTGTATTTATCCTGTGAATCTTATACTGTGTATGTGTGTGTGTGTGTGTGTCTGTCTGTCTGTGTCTGTCTGTCTGTCTGTCTGTCTGTCTGTGATTGTGTCTGTGTCTGTGTGTCTGAGCCCATATCTCTTATACTAGTTTATATATTTTCGAATGTATATATATTATATATGTTGTCAGACGTCATGTGAAAATGAAAGGAAATTTTCTTCTTTTTTTAGTCAGAAAAAACAGCACAAGAGAACAAAAGTAGTCATATCCAGATCACTTAGCATAAATGTATGTCTGTAGTGGTGGTTGGCTGGCCTCGTCTTGAAGATTATCCTGCTGCAGTGATAATAGGTAGAATGTTGCTGACTACACACACTCAATCAGTCGTGGCTGACATTGTCTGTTTCAAACCCTATTTCAGCTCTAACACAGCAAGCCGCTCCAACCACTATCAACGTCGTGTACTTCATGAATATATAATAACATACACATAAACATAACGCTACATGACTTGTCAATTACGCAGTTTCAACTCAAAATTATAGATCTCGACTAAATATATAAAAATATCCGTGCAATGTCTTCTGAGCTGCAAACATTAATGTGAGTTTTGCCCATTTGGTAGGGTCGATTGGGGATTATGGCGGATGCTAGATTTCCTTGCATGGCAATTCGGGGTTTTTTTATCAGTGGGACATTTTTCTTTATTCCACTTTTAATGTATTTAAGCAACTTTGCGATTCAATACTGAGTGAGTGAGTGCCCGACGGAATAGAATATCAATTATTAGGATATGTCATGGATGTAATTCATAGTTCCGGGTTAGTACTGAGAAGTCCCTACGTGCCTCTTTTCTTTAGGTGCTATTTCCTTGCATCTAGATATTTCAAGACATTGCCGAAAAGCTGCCTTTTAATAAACAAGAGACATTAAGATCTCTCATAATGAATGTCTTGTTTGTCTGGCAATATTGCCATTTCTGTTGGCTTCCTTTGTTAAGTATCCACCTTTGTTATCTTATAACTTTTGTTGTGTTTACTGGTACATATATATGTTCTCTGCTTCATATTCACCCGATGAAGGAGTGAGTATATACTCCGAAACGTTGTGTTCCTCATAATAAATAAATTGGCATTCATAAATTCTCTTCCCTATGTGTATCACTCCTAAATACCATTCAAAGACTTATATATATAATTTTAGAAAATCTAGAGTAAACAACGTATTGTCAAATAAGTTTTATAATGGATGAACACTGTCTTGCCGAACAGGTTTTGTATGAAGTTTGCAAGAACTGTACATGGTTATACGTAATTCAAAGTTTGTTTCAAAACCATTTATCAGCTGCAACCGAAAACATTAGGACAACACTGTCTGACAATGCCTTGCTTGATATTACAGACCAAGACCAACACCCAATTTTCATGGAAAACCTGGAAAACGCCACCATCAAGATGTCAACTTTCCTAAATCACATACCCGACAAACTTCAACTTAGCAATTTCACAACGACTACGCAGAAGTCAATACATCCAGCCGGCTACTTTGTCATCCCTGCTGAAGACATGGTCAACTTCCGGATTGCAATGTACACGACCATCATGCCTGTAACAGCTCTCATTGGAATTGTGGGAAACGTCATCAGTTTTGTGGTCTTATTACGTCACAAGATGCGGGACACAACCAAGATGGTTCTCATCTCCATAACTGTCTGTGACTTTCTACACCTTATTGCGATGATACTCTTCTGTCTGATCGGAGTCACCATCGCTTTAGACTATAAACCCGGACTTTATATCTCCCGAAAAGCATTTCCATATTTCGGTTCCTACTTAAGATCGGCATTTGGTCGAATATCCAATCTTTTAATCGTTGTAATATCACTAGAGAGGTTATGTGCTGTCCTTTTCCCTTTGAAAATCAAATCACTTTGGTCAAGGAAGACAATGGGACTTTCAATATTCATCTGCAGTCTTCTGGTTGCAGCCATATTGGTTCCCTATGCCCTGGAGTTCGTGCCTACTGATTTCCCTATACCCAATTCGACACAAATGACCACAGTTCTCAAAATGTCGGAGTTCGGAAAGAACCGTGACTTTTATGCAACTCTGTATATCGTCAGATTGTTCCTCCTTCGCTTCATCCCCATCGCTGTTGTCATCATCTGCAACATCACCATCAGTGTCAGCCTGTACCGCTCCAAGTCTGCGCGCTCCCAGATGACGGGTCAGAATCGTGACGAGACGCCTGCAGAACAGCGCATCACTCAGACATTGTTTGGTCTGGCTCTTCTGTTTTTCTTCTGCATGACACCTGGTGCCCTCAATATCCTAAGCCAGCTATTTGACTACGAATACAACTTCCCCAAAACTCGGAACAACGTCTACAACCTGGTCGGGATACTTGCAGCTTGGCTTGAAATTGTCAACTCCTCCGCTAATTTTATCATCTACATTATATCTAGCAGACAAATGCGCATGGAGTTCAAACGTATCATCATGTACCGCAAGGGGACATTTTCAGACCAGAAGTACATCACAGACACGTCCGCAAGTGAAATGAGACTATCCACGATGTCGGTCTCAGCAGTATCATAGGGAATGTGGCTAAATGGGATTTAGGCGAGTAAATCAATTTATTTAGCATATGTGTTCACTAATAAACAGTTTGATAGAAACATGAAACTCACCTTGTAGATTGTTGAGCGGCAACTTTATAAGTTCGGATAACTATGCAAACAAGAAAACATTGCTCATGTTGCTGGTTGTGAACTGAACTATTATGCCTCTCTGACAACAGAAATAGTTTACTAACTTTGTGAATTTCACTGCCCATTCCACTAAAACATGTTAGTAGACTTTACTAATCAGTTCGTATTGCCATTACTAAAACGTTTTAAGTTGTAATCATATAGTAGGAGTAAAAATTACACTTTTATTGTCAGCTTCCTACATGAGCGAAATACTCTTAGGCATACAGCAACAACACATTAATGGCTACAAGGATTATTTAACCTCGAACGTGCAACTTCTTGATTTGTAGTCCGTCACGCCATCACCTGTGCTGAGGAGGTTGTAGTGTCAATTTTCCTGGTCACCATTAGCTTGTTTTATATTTGGACATTTTTATGTTAATATTTTACCAAGTTCGTTGTGTGTGTGTGTGTGTGTGTGTGTGTGTGTGTGTGTGTGTGTGTGTGTGTGTGTGTGTGTGTGTGTGTGTGTGTGTGTGTGTGTGTGTGTGTGTGTGTATTTGTTGTTTAACGCCGCACTCAGCAGTATTCCAGCAATATGACGGCGGTCTATAAATAATCGAGTCCGGACTTGACAATCCAGTGATGGACATTATGAGCATCGATCTACGCAATTGGGATACCATGACATGCATCAACCAAGTCAGCGAGCCTGACCACCCGATCCCGTTAGTCGCCTCTTACGACAAGCCAAGTCGCCTATTCTACCCCGGATCTTCACGGATCAATTTCGTTGTAAATCCTGGTGGTATATGTGTTATGCAAGTGCCTGTGAATCTAATTTGCACCTTTAATTATCATGTTTGGTAGATTGCATCTATATATATATATTTTAGATATATCTTGTTTCTTCGTAGTGGAGAGTGGAAAACTGCCCCGAAGGAAGTGGATGGACAACTGCAATCTGTGCTGCTGGAATTGCCTCAAGCCGAGTTGCTGATTCCTTCATCATGTGTCCACATCAGGCATATGTTTAATATAAGGAAACAGAAGTGAACAAAGAAGATCTTTTGAGAAGTTGATGTGCACCGACGTCAGCTGCCTCAACCCCAGTTTCACTACAAGAATATTGCATATTGTGCCTGTGGTGCTTTTCCATCATCAGCAGACTCTCCGTCAAATACCTCTGACAACACAATGCACCTTCTTTCGCGGTGTGTCGTTTTCATGTATTACACAACTGGATAATTTGGAAGGTCAATTAAGCAAGGCAAAATCTATTTTCATGAAATCTACAATTGAAAACATTCCACCAATACAGGCAGCTCCACAACAGCACACAGTGCGAGTAACCTATCATGGGGGACATGTATGGGGACAAGAGAGGACATGTAGTGATACGTGGAGACCCAAGTGGACAACACTTGCACAGGCACACAAGTGTTATTAACTAACACTGCATCTTGCACAGACTTTGTAAAGGTTAACCGTCGGTCTAAAGTACACTGCTCTGTGCCGCTGTGAAGCAAAGTTATGTAACAGTAAACACGTGCATTGAACTGATATTCCTGGCCATACTTAAGTAGGAAGTAAGTTGATATCATAGGTTCATGGCAACAATGTCAATATAACTTGAACATACATTCCAGTTTTTAAGATATGAATCCATTCCCCCATGATTATGGGTAATTTTGGATGCGGTTCACTTGCAATATATTAATGAAAAGCGTCCTTGATTTATTGCCAATGATCCTTTGATAATTTGTATAAATTCACCAGATAATTATTATACAATGAGTATAGTCTGATATCATTAGAGATTTCAACCACATTGGCGGCCATCTAGTACTTCCATCACCACCAGGGGATCAGCATACCAGATTTGAATTATATACAGCATTGTTGCGATTTATCCTTGATACATTACAGTAATAATGTGTATACAATGAACAGTTAACTATGATATATTGAGTATAAATTGATATCATTAGAGATTTCAGCCATGTTGGTGGCCATCTTAGATTTTCTACCACCAGGGGGCCTGCAAACTGTGTTTGAATTATATGCAGCATTGTTGCAATTAATTCTGAATATAATACTATAGATATCTGTATAAATTGACCAGATACTCCTGACATATTGAGTATATATAGATATCATCAGAAATTACAGCCATGTTGGCGACCATCTTGGAGTTTTCACCAACACCAATAAGATTGTTTGTCGATAATAATCAAAGAATTACACTACTAACTCCGCGGGGCACGGGCAGTTTCCAATCGAAGATGCTCTTCCTCCACAAGCAAACAATCGTTTGCGGGTTTCCTTTGATAAGATCAAACCTGTGAACTCTCTGAATCTGTCCTTTTAAAGCTGTGTAAAAAGAAATATAAAGGGGACTTCTTAAGCTTGACTTGGTCAAAAGAAAATGATTTCCACAACGAAAACAATGTCCTTGAGGTATTTGATTTGCATTTCTTTGAAGTTGACGGATGAAGTAGACACAACTTCTTTAATATATATATGTTGAGATGTTGTCCTTAAACTGTCTATAAGATGTTGTCCTTAAACTGTCTATTTGATGCAATCTAGTTTGTTCAAATACAACTTGTGTGCTCGGTCTTTTGAATTGCTGTCGCGTGACAAATCCCCGACATACTGGTTTATTTCATGAATGTGTTGTTTTGTTCCGGACATGTTTTATCCTCAATTAGACGTCCTCGGTAATTGGCTGAGAAAAAGAAGCACAAGCTCCGTAGCTCACCTGAACGTCTGTTGAATACTTGCAACATGTGCTTCAAAGTTAAAGGGTAATAAAAATATGCAAACATAATGACATTTTTATTATGGCTGCAATGTGAGCAAATATCTAAGACTGCATTGCTACACACACACAGACACCAGCCCTTAATCTCACAACACACCCACACCCACCCTACAATAAAGGGCTAACGTAGTGGTATTACAGTACACAAAATGTAAACTGACCCGTGAAGATCCGGGTAGAATAGGTCTTCGGGAACCAATGCTTGCCGTAAAAGACGACTAAGCTTGTCGTAAGAGGTAACTTGGCTGATGCATGTCATCGTTGCCCATCGATGCTCATGGTGTCAATCACTGGATTGTCTGGTCCAGACTCGATTATTTACAGACCGCCGTCATATAGCTGGAATATTGCTGAGTGCGGCGTTAAACAACAAACAAAATGTAAGCTAAAACCAGAGACGTAGCCAGTTACGCTCTTTCTGCCAACATGTGACTCACAGTTTGGCCAGTTGTGTTACCCAGTTACAGCCTTCCCAGGCCTTACTGTGCCACTTTGTTAATGCAACAATATAAAATAGTAATAGGGCGGTGTTTAGAACTTATTTCCTGCTACATTGAAATAATAAGCTTGCAAATGGGAGGAGGGCTGAGGTAGACAAACTACAAACGAGGGTGTAGTTAATGTGTCTTTGATCGGGTGGTAGATCTATTTAAAAACAAAGTAAACATTATTGTTCACTGGACATGCCACGCCAGATTACGTCGACCCAGGCGAAAAGGTCATAACCGGCTGGTATCGAGTGAAAGTGACTTGACAGTCTGCTATGACATTGACAAATACTTGATTCTGATCAATTAAAATATGATAAAACTCGAATTCTGGCCTGTAGCATACCTATTTACACACGTGTGATTACGCAGTCTATCGGGTTTAAAACGTTATCGCTGTCGTGGTAGAATGGGGGTAAACCTATTGGATTCGGTTCCAAATTAAAATAAGAGATATCGAATCTGCCTTGAGAGTTTCAAAACACAGTAGGTTTATCTTCCAAGTGTGTCCATTTTAGCAGTAAGCAGTGAAAGTTAAACAAAATAAAGGATCTACGATGTCAACGTCTTGAATATAAAACCGCCTGTGACGGAATGGTTTGAACCTTTTTATGCACTTGTATATCGTCTAACCGTCCAGCTACACATCTGCTTAGTGGTTCTTACAAAAAGACATGGAAAATACAGGTCACGTCAACGTCAATAAGATTGAATTAACAAAAAGGTTGTAAGTTGACGTCTGAAGAAATTAAGAGAGTCTTTTTGTTTCTGGTTGCTTGGTTTGTTGTTTAACGCCGCACTCAGATAAAGTTCCAGAGCTTTGGACTTGTAACAGAGGAAGAGCGCTCATCCAATTTTTTGGTGTCTGGATAAGGAGTCGTTGTTCCTATGCTGAATATGTTGTTTGTTTGTTTACTTGCTTGCTTGTTGTTCAACGCCGCACTCAGCAATATTCCAGCTATATGACGGTGATCAGTAATTAATCGAGACTAGATCAGACAACCAAGTGATGGACATCATGAGCATCGATCTACGCAATTGGGAAACGTTGTACATGCATCAACCAAGTCAGCGAGTCTGACCATCCGATCCCGTTACTTGCCTCTTACGACAAGCATAGACACTACTTACTTCTTCACGGGCTGAATCAGTTCTTTGAGGTATCCTGGGGAGCAGTCATCAATTAAATCAGAATTTGTCAGAGACAGAATCAAGAGGCGCTGAGGCCCGTCTGTATGTGTGAGAATATATGCAACAACCTGCATCAAATTATTTGAAATTAAATAGTATCAAGGTCATGCCCTAAAGGTTCATGAAAGGATTACGCATAAATAATTAATAACTGTTTTTGTACAATTTCAACGCCAAAGCCATCCATAAAATTGGTTTATTATTTGAGAAATCTAAATGACACACAACTTCCGCAAATATATATATATATACAAGGGCAACAAGCTCGAAACAGTATACCATAAGTCCCCGATTAAACGCCGAGCCTCCATTTTACGTCGGGTTGTGTTTATGCACGGAGCTCTCCCCATTATAATCCCCCGCCAAGAAGTGGGAGGGGGACATAGGAATGGGTGTTGTCCTTCCGTCACGTTTCGTTTCCGAAGCTTAACTCGGAAACCGTTTAATGTTTTATTACGAAACTTTGCAGATTTATCTA